ATAATCCAATGAAACCCTAGGTGGAGAACGCGGCCGTTAAAACCACCCTCCACGATTCCATCGTGCTACTAGCTGATTACATGACAGTTACATATAGGTCAGAAAATGAAATTACAAAGCCAACATTATTCAAGGACGCGTGAAACGTATATTAAACACAGCCATTTATTCAGAGGTAACCGTGGGTGATCCACTCGCATATCCATGAATGAAACTACATTTATTAAAGGGGTAAGATAAATTGTCCAACACTTTATACATTATTGTTAACTATGTTATATTAGTAGCGCTCATGATATTTTAAGAAATAAAAAAAGATGTGAAAAGAATAAAACAAACAAGCAGTACACAACAAAGTTGAAAGAAATATTGTTTCCCGAAGTTAAATATTTATCTATAATTTATCTATATGACGAATTTAATTCAAGTGCATACGTTTTTCTGTATGTTTTTTTAGCTTACATCTATTTTGAGATAAGCTCTATTTTATAGATAAATACGAGGATAGTTCGAAAAATTCTCGGCCTAACACAGAAATGACGCCACACATATCAAACTGCTATAATTTGAGACAAGTTTGATCTTGCACAGAGCTACTGTTAAAGTTTGACAAATGCGTTCATTAGTTTTGTTTCGGTCGTATAAAGCAACCAACTTTTGATTCCATCATGACAATGCACCTACTCACACTTCTTCAATAGCGCTTCAAATTGGTTTCATACACACTGTATTCAGATTTAGTCTCGAGTGACTTTTTTCTCTTTCCAAACATAAAGAAATGGCTGGCAGGAAAAAGATCGGCCTCAGATATTGAAGTAATCGATAAACTAACGCTTACTTTGAAGACTTAAAGAAATCGCATTACATGAACGGTATAAAAAAGTTAAAATATGGTTGGAATAAGTATATTGAGTTGAAAGGGACTATTTTGAAAAATAAAAAAAAACTTTGCTAAAAATTATTCAAATCTTTCGTTTTAGTTTGAATATTTATCTTCCTGGATAGCCGTAGTCGAGAAAAAGAACGTTATCTAAGATAGATTAGAAATTTAAAGTGTCATTTTCACACTTTCAAAAATTCGAGGTGAAAAGGGTGCGAACTAAGCTAACTTCGCAGCCAGAATAGCTTTTTCTTTTAGCAAAAAGCTCTCTTCTTAGAGCCATTGTGTGTGAAGCAATGCTGAGTGGGCGTACTTGTCGCCGCGATCCCATCTCGAAAAATGTCGTCGTGCCATTTTAGCACCATAGTAGTAGGTCAAGTTTTTAGAAAATCCAGGTGTAAACCTAGGTCAGCTCGTTCGCGTGATCATCTTCGCAAGAAAACGAGCGATTCACCACACCTGGCTCTACCGCAAAAGTTCAATAAAGTTTTCCTCCTAATAGACGTACCGTATACTGGAAACTGGACGTGCCGATAAACTTTGAGAATTTGAAACTTTATAATTCATGATGGACGATACTTGAATCCGATTACTCGTATTTCCATGTAAGTTGCCATGAGGAAAATTAATTTCTAAATTCTTCTTGATGTCTAAAGAGCTTATATATTCTTGGAATATTTTCATTTAAAGTCGAATAATATTCGGACGTTGTAATAAATCTGAGTTATTATATTATTATTATAAGAGAACACTCAAAAAAGATATTCTGCCAATAAGCGGGAAATTCCTCTTAGCATTTCTTCTAAGCAAAAAATCTTACATGAATCAGGCGTATATTTATAACATATAATCGTTTATAAAAATGAGGACACATGAGCTCTGATCAAAAATAAATTCCTCTATGAAAAATTCTATTATAATAACTCGAATAGCCTTTCAAATAAAGGATACTAGCAGTACGCTTTTTTGTTAAAAAAAGTTTATCATTTACGTGTTACCGTAGCTACGCGCGTATGTCAATACATGCAAGACATTCTTTTAGTATTGAGGCTTACAATCTTAAATCCAGCACCTTATGATTATATAAAATTTCTCTACTTTGCGGAGTATCTTCTTGAGGTTGTACATAAATGGAAAATCCTCTGACATTAACACAGAACCGTTAAACGGTAGAATATTTTTTTTTAGTGATATATCGTGTTTTCTATACGATATTTTTAAGCATTTATCGATTTTAAATAAACGGCGGAAACAAAATAATATACAATAATAATGTTTTCTAATCGGTCTTTTAGAATTTTCCTTTTTAAAAGAATTTTCAAAAAAGAAATTTATATTTATAGAAAATATAAAATCTGTTTATAAAATTGTTTTTGCATAAGAAGGTCTTATCCTCATCAATCACTTTTTCTGTCACCTGCTCCCTTAAGTGTTGCCGTTCATCTTCTTCTGCACATCCTTCTCTTTTGTGAAAGGTTGACACTCTTTGCTGCCATCGACGTGGTATCACTTACATACTACATCGTTATTTAACTTTGTTTTTCAACGGATCAGATTTTAATTGCGGTAGAGATACGAGATGGATTAAAACAAAAGAACCTCGCCACGAAGATCGCTAACGTCGTCTCAGCAATTTTCAAGATAATTATACAAAGCAATGAAGGTGTTGATCTTCTGAACGTACTGAATCTTATGTCCTTCTTTCTTTCTCAATCGATATAGCATGATATATAATTTAAAAATAACTTTATCTTCAAAAGACGAAATATAATGAGCAGAGTTATTATCGTTACAATAGAAAAGAATAATTGAGAGAAACGAATATAAACTACTCTCGTAATTTTTCAAGCAAGAAACCTTTCTTTTATATCATTTATAAAAGTATTTTCATTATATGTGAAAAGAAATAATTCCGATTATATAAAGGAGTATATTAATATACTCTATCATATCGTTTTAGTTTCCCATTGAATACTCTCAGCAACTTTAGTAATGCACCCGCATACATCCGTAAGAGAAACATGGATACTCAATTATCACACATCCACCTAATTCAGATTACCTTCTTCGTGACCAGTCAATGGTAGCTACTTTCTCAGCACTCGCATTGTCTTCTTTAGAATGTGATTCGATCGATAAATCTCAACGATGCCGGACTATAGACATTCCGCTAAACTCAGCGCTCTTCTATTTTCACCGCCCGCTTCTTTGAAGCGAAGGAGACTTTCGCGGCTATACGACGAACCCTTTCGGGATCAAGTAGATGGGTTCGTTTGAAGTTAGCTAGAAAAAAAATCCGAGATTTTTCGCGCCGAGGTGTCCAACCCCCGATCCCGTTTATCCTCTTTCTCTCTCTCTTCCTCTTCTGATTGTTGTACGGCTTCGTCGTACGGAAACTACCCGACACGGTAGATTCTCGGCGATAGCACCCTTGCCCTTGACTACAGAGCGCGAGAACGCTCGTCTGAGGGGTTTGTTGGCTTTCTCTCTCTCTCTGTCTCTTCCGCTTGTTCCTTTCTTCCTCTCTTTCTCTTCCGGTAGACAAGGGCACAAAAAAGAAAATGAGGAGCGAAAGGGGTAGAAGAGGAAGGCGATGCAGGCGAGACGCATGTCGTCCTGCCTTCACAGCTTTCACTCTCTCGCTCTTCTCAATGCGATGTGCGTCCGTTCATCCATCCGTCCGCATGTGCGCACCGCATAGTTGCATGGCGTCGTCTCTCTACGTGCCGACGTAAAGTGAGTAGAACGCGTCGAGTGGAGGGTGCAGAGTACTCCGACGGTGCGTCGAGTGATCATTCGGGGTTGGATTGGTTGGTTAGTTGTTCGATTGGTCCCCGATCCTATATCCTAAGAGACTCATTCATGTAAAGATCGCTGCTGTATCATGGCATAACAGCAATTCACGAACAACGTTCGTATAATAGATCGATTAAAATGGATACATATTTCCTCACATTTGTATATAATCATCGTCCGTCTTGTTAATATTCTGGTCGACTGTGTTACCGCGAATATTGCAAATAAATTTATAATAGGATTAAAATTTTGCAGAATGCTGAATGGCACTAGGAAATATTTTCATGTAGTTTCCATACTCGGCTTCGCGCGTTAATTGCTCTTCAATTTCAATGGCATCGTTATATCTCACGTTTACGCGGGTTCATATTGGGGCGATCGACCTCGAGTGCACTCTTGATGTAATAGACATAGACTCGAAGCGACGTAATCAAACGGTGCATTAAATGCAACGTTACGACTGAAGATCGATTCGCGGAATATATATAGCGGAGTACGATCACGAACGTCGTGCTACGTCAACATAAAGAAGTCATAGTGGACGCTATATTTTATCGTTATGTTTCGTATAATTAGAATCTACAAGTCGATAGCGGGAAACCAACCGGTGCGATACGTCATAAGATACTAGTCTTTCCTAATTTGTCCATAAAATCATTGAAATTCGTATTCCTTTTCATTATTCTCACGTTATCGCGCAATAATATATAAAATCTGTGGCAATCAGCCAAGTTTACGCTTTATATCTTCTGTCGAATTATTTGAAGGGGATCTACAATTGAGGTCTAATTCTATTCTATTTCAGAATGCGTAAAGTTCAGTAACACAGACAACATGTTTTTCTTATATTGTCCTACTTTTTCTGTGCAGATCATATTTACGCATATTTATAATTAACGTGCATTATTTACAAATTAATATTATTGTATAATTAATAAATCTATAATACATTCGCCTCTTAAAATTATTACTGGTATTTTTCTTCGTTTTTTTTTCTAAGTAGTTAAAATTAAAAAGTTTATTCATGTCGTACCGTACCTGATATATCAAATTCGAGTTGCAGATTCGAGGATAAAGCGGATAGGAGCTTTGTGAGAGTATAACGCTCTCGTAAGATATTTCATGGAATTGTTAACGCATTCTCAGCCGTTGTAAACGCGAAAGAGAACAGAGCTCTCTGCAATTACGACGCAAGACTTTAAGGAGAAATTTCCATGTTTCTGACTTAACTGATATTAACACGCGGACCGCTACTTTCGTAGATATTGCACGCTCGTTGTACATCGTCTCAATTGCACACAGCTTATAAAAGTATGAAACATACCTTTCAGATGTTCTGGGGTGTCCGCTGCGCCGGCTCGCATAATGTCGCTCAGATAGTGTTCCAAAGTCCTCATGTTGTCTAACGGTGAGTTTCCATTAGCCGTCATACGATCCTAGAAAATATCGAGATATTATAAATCTTATATTCGTAATGGCTCCTATATAGAATTACCATATCGAAAATTTCAAAACTAGAACTTACAAATAAAAAAAACCACCGGACATTTCGCTTGCACTCCCAGACGCATACAAAAATGCATGTTGGTTAGTAAAATTAATCAAAACGATTCATCAAAATTAATCAATAAATAATTATTTCATATCTAATTGTTCATTAGCAGTAGTAACGTAAGAAATTTCTCAATGAATTATTCTTCTTACATTTGACTGTGATTGATCAATTTCTTATGGAAGGCTCATTACGTTTATTGCAAAAATCTGGATTAATACAGAGTAGCGCGAAATATTTAAAAGATTTTCTCAAATCCCGGACGCTTATAATTATTCCGGATGCTTTCGAAAACTCCTCCCGGATGCCCTAAAAAAGAAGATAGTGTTCGGAGAAAAGAGAATGGATAGTAAATCTACTTCTATAACTTCATTATTATTACATTATGTTTACATTATTTTATGAGAACACGCTATTTTTTAAATATCGATATTCAACAAGTAGAAAGTTCAAAGGGCAAATGAGCCTTTTGAATTCTCTACTTATTTATTATTTGATACTGAAAGTCCTGTACTTTTATTAATTTTTCGATATTCAAAGGCAATAATTATCAGGCAGATAAAAAATATGATGTTACAAGTTATTAAAATATTTTAATAGTTTATAAAATATTTTACAATTATGTATCTAAATATACGATATCTAAATCTAAAATCTAGTTCTCCTCAAATCCGTGAATTTTATTTCGAAATGCGTTGGTGATGAAATGTTTACCTACTTCACTTAATTTCATGTGAATGATGCTTGTGAGTCTCCATTACGACGATTGTTTTAGCTCGAGGATATTCTCTATAATATATAAAATTCTCTATAATATATAAAAAGTCGTGCATAAAACTCCATGAATTTTGGATTTTTCAATTTCCGTCGCGAATCATTTCAAGAGATAAGATGCTTACTTCTGGTTAGAAAAAGCTTTCTAGCGGTGAGCGAATGTACTGGATGGAATACCGCGTAAACTAGCAGCACTCCCGGGAAGGAGGACAAGTGAAGCAAAGAACTTGAAAAACGATAAGAGAAGTAACATTCCCGGTGATGGAAGGAAGTATTTGCCAGAAAGAAGCATGCCACCTCCACGAGCAGCAGGAAAGAAAGTGCAGGGATAAAAGCTAGAGAAAGATCTGTAATAGGCCACTTGTAACGAATCAGGGAGTGTAGTTAAAGCGGGTATGTATTCAAAAGTCTCCATTCCCCGCCGTCGCCACATCCTTAATGCACATCCGTTTTCCTTCTTTTATTTCGGCTATCGCGAGTAGTCGTGTTCCCGGCGAAAGTTTGATAGAGCCCGACACGGCCTTTTTTTCGAACGTCACGCCACGAAATTGTCGACTTCCTCGCGTGGAAGGTTCGATAAAAAAAAGTTTGATATAAAAAAGAGCCCCTAATTTTAATAATCTTTGCGATCAGATTAATATATTATATTTAGTATCGTCTGTATATCTTGATATACGCATTATTATACAAATTCAAGTGAATTATGAATCATCATTTAATCGTTCGCGCTGATAGCGATTTTCTACCAAACAGAAAGATTATATTTAATATAAATTATATTTTGAGTATTTAATATAAACTATATATTGAGTATTCATATATTATTTAAAATGTAATGCAAATTGTTATATTAGATAATAGTACAATGATATTGTACTATGATATTGTAATATTAGGAATAAAAATATATAATTTCGATTTATTTACTGAATAGTGAATGATCGAATCATTTTAAGATTAGTGTAAAGCACTTTTTCCATGTTGCTTGAAAAATGCTTGTCAAAAGTAATCCAAACGAGTACGTCTTCCTTGCGCAGCAATTTCTTTGCCCTGATTTCTTCTTGTGCATGTAGTACCTCGTAAAAGAAACAGACAAGGAGTTATGAGGACAAGAAATGGGCAAGACATGATAACGAAAGAGAACCGAGATTCTTTGAAGGTGACCAATTGAGAAGAACGGCCAATGTAATGAAAAATAACGGGCGGTGGCACGGTGTAAGAGAAATGTCTATTCGCGCAAATAAATGCTCCTCCTTGGAGCATCGCCGAGTGGACGGAACGTCTTGGAACGTCTGGTAGATATAAATGTTTCATATTTCTACATGTCCGTCCTCTGAAAACATCTATGAAACATCTACGAGCTATGTGCGAAGCTAGAAAATAAATATGCGAACTTTCGACACAAGAATAGAAAGATCTCAGAAAAAAAGATTAAATCCAAACTTGAAAGATTTTTGTTTTTGTTACATTTCAGTACATTTAAAATAATCTATGTAAACATATGTAATATCGCATATTAGTATCATCGTTACTAAATGAATTAAAAATCATACATATATGTATTATAATAGTTTATTTGATACGCGATATAAACAAATCTGTTTCGGCATGTGATCTTCACACGTCTCGTCCATCCTGAACCAATATTGAAATTTACGGCAACGCGAGTGCATCCTTTGCCGTTCTGGAAGAAAACGGCCGTGACACTTATTTGGTCAAACGTGGCGTGGGATGAGGAAGAGGGAAAAAGAAGAGACGAATATATTCAGGTATATATATTGTACGAATCCGAAACGGAGAAGAACGAAAGGGGTGGACCCCCTGATGTCGAATAATCGTGCCCATCTTTCTATGCCGGCATAGCTGGCGGAGGTGCAAAAGGTGGCCCCACCTTCTCCTCAAACGCGTCCCCTTCGTGCCGCCCGTATAACTCTCTGGTCCTGATGTCTCTTCCTTCCTTGTGTACGCGGACCCTCCGGACCCCACCTGGGTACCAATCCGTTTCCCTCTCCCGGGCCGTTCCGTGCGCGCGCGTGCACGCACACAGGCGCACGCGCGCATCCACGCATCCACAAGCACTGGGCTCACGCGCGAACACACACACACACACACACACACACACACACACACCGCACGCACACGCACATACCTACATGCACACAGAGGGGAAACGTTTCTCGGCTCCATTCCGTCTCTTTCCAACTCACGCGCGCGGTGGAAAATCAATATAGGGAAACCAGGAAGCAGCGGCAGGGCGTCGACAGCAACCTCCGTGCAGGCTCCGTCCCGGTACCACTCCTACTCATCGTCCCCGTTCTCTCGTGCATCCCCTCTCTCCGTTAACCCTCTCACGGTTCCGCTCTCCCACTAATTCCGTTCCCCGTGCTCTATTCGGTTTTGCTTGGTTATAGTACTTTGTAATTTCCACGTTAGTCGTTAGGGGTTTTCTGTGAAGTTATTCGCGCGACTGTTTATTAGCGATCGACAATACCGTCTTGACCGTGACTACCACTGCTTTCGATAACTACCCCTCCTAGGACGACACTGCGCAAATTTTCCCCTACCATTGTAGAGTAGGTAGGTATGCGGGTCGAGACAAGGAGAGGTAGGAAGACTGCTGCGGAATTGGGTGATCCGGAAGGAGACCCGTGAGGAAAACACCGCCAGCATCGTATGTACTATGTATACGTCGGGAAACGCTAGTTCCCGTACCACGACGGGTTGTACATCACGGAGATGTATCTTCGGAAGTACAACTGGCAATTCGTTATCCCATCCGCGCAAGAGGCAGATACCTATATTATATACCTCCCCCGACCAAATCCGACCATCGCGAATGTACATTGTATCGAATTCGCGAGGCATCCAAAAACGCAAGCGGATCCACAACTATCCTCTTCGATCGAAGACACGCAGTACGCACTCGCCATGCAATTCTCCATCCAGTGCATCAGTACGAGGGTTTCATTCGACCCAGAATCCCACGCGCATCCATGGATGTGAGGCGCGCGCGGTCGCGGTTGGCCCAGTTCCGAAGTTGGCTGCTCGTAAAAAGCAACGACACCTCCTCCCCGCTCGTGATCTCCATATATATAGATATGTTATGTGGCTGTGTATGTGAGCGCGCGCGCTAATACTGTCGTTCCTCTCTGCTGACCCCACGTTTGCGAATGACCCGTGGCCTGTCATGGGCACGTCCTGACCTGGTCGGGGATTGAATTATGGTGAGCGGAGCAGAGGTGCTGAATGTAATCCAGGAGTGGTCCAGGAACACGGGTGTAAACGCACGTAAATTTTCTAGGGGCTGACATCGCGTGTCCATTCCATTTTGCGCAGTCTCCGCGAGAGCGAGACGGTGCGGGCGTGACGTAATGTCCGCATGACCGGTACGACATTCCCGGCTTACGTTACGCTCGTTGAGAAATGGGAAAAATTTTGTCACTTTTGTCCTTTTAACACAGATATTATCCGATACTTTCGCAAGCACACATCTCACATGCGAAGAAGATTCTTCAAAAAAGGCATAAGGCAAATTCGTATCTTTATGCTCAAACTCTATGTGTTTCGAAACTTTCACCATGTGTTATAGAACATAAAATTGTATTGTCTGTATAACCACCAATTACGAAAATGAAATGGTATCTACATTAGCAAATAAAGCAGGGCGCCAAAATGATATCCACACACGAAACGCATGAAAACCGCAGGCTGGTAGCCCATCAAATGTTCATTAGGATACACTTAGAGAGTATTAGAATCTTACCCTAGATAAACATGCGATTAATTATGTGATAAACATATCTATAAATCATCGATTTAGGGGATATAGGAAAATAACGTTCGGAAGTAAGTTGGACGATGATTAATTTCACGAAAGGCAAATAAGACCCGGGAGGACTTAGATAAGGAACTAGAAGGGGAAAAATGTAAAAAGGGAAGAAATGCGTGAGGGTAGAACGAATATATATGCAGACGCTTTTGAGTAACGCGTTTTACTTCATGCAGTCCCGTTTAGTCTAGACAGGAACGGTCCCAACCTACCAAGACCATCCTTGCCATCTTTTGTGCAATCCCCTTTTCTTTTGCGATACAATGTGTTTATATTCCACC